AGCAGGTCTTGCACTTTGCCCTCCAGATGAGAGAGCAGGGCCGCCCGAAGCTTTTCATGCAGAAGGGGATCGGCAACCAATTTGCAGCCCATCTCGCCCTTCGCGGCCATCTCGAAGGGGATCCTGTCCAGTTTCTCTGGGCCGCCGGCGTGGTCAAGGAGGATCGCTTCAAGGTTCCCACGCAGCTTCTCCAATCCGTCCGCCTCGCAGTACTTACGAGCACCAGGATCCCATCTGCCCGGGGAGCAGAGCCCTGCCCCGTCATGAAAAGGCCGGCTTTATCAAGGTTCACGGCAGACACGTGCCGGGCCTTCACCGCCCCGGACGGGCGGCCACGTCGGATCTATTTCAGGCTCCGGAGAGAGCCCTCCCGCTGGCTCCAAGATAAATCCGCGCCCCTTGAGGATCTTCTTGTCCCCCGCAGCCATCTCATGTGCTCTCGCCACAGTATAGCCAGCCAGGACCAGTCGCGTGCCCGTCCAGTCTTCCGTAGCGTGCCAGCGGTGGGCGTCGAATGAGATCCGACCCTTCTTCCATTCCAGGACGTCGCCCTCCATCTCACGCCCCAGGATCAGTCTCTTCGCCAATCCCCCATCGCGCTGCACCCAGAGTCCACCCTCCTTGAAAGAGGTGCATGCCAGGAGCAGGTTTTCCGTGGAGTCTCTGTGCGGCCGTTGTTTCAGGTCTCTGAAGAGCCCAAGCGAGGAAAGCCGCCGCCAGGATCCTAGCGAGCAACTCGCTAGTCCATCGGTAGGCTCGAAGGTTCTTCCGTAGCCCCACTGTCTCCTGATGGATAAAAGCCCCAGTCGTGAAAGATCGTTGTCCCTCCACTCTTGAAGCTGCTTCCCGAATCCTGGTCTCATCAGGAAGGTCCCTCGAGAGGTCCCGCAAGTCCTCCTCCGTGACGAAACCTTGCTGAAGAAAGCGCAGCGCCCGGGATTCCAGTTCTCCCACGTGGTCCCCCGACCCAGTCTGGCATCCCTTGACTGGCTCAAATCTGAAGATCTTCCCACGCTCCTCCAACTCCTCATCCGTCGTGTCCGGTTCCGGCTCCGCCTCTTTCTCCCCAAGTCGGCCAGGATGGAAGTCGCGACCCATTGAAGGGAGCCGCTGAACGGCTTCGCATGGCGGTGGCCGTTGGATGCCGAGGCAGTGGTCCTGTGTAGAAGCCAGAATCATCGTAGGTGGGCAATCCTGCCCGCATGGATGCTGCCAGCGGTTGACGGGTCCGAAGCAAGAGTCGCGTCGGCTTTGCGTATTCAGTGCCAAAGTCGGCCTGGTGGAAGGCCGCATGCTGAGCCCGCGGGTGCGAGGACAGCTTACGGAAACTCGGTCGTTGCCACATGGATGAAGGACGGCGGTCCGCGTCCAAGGCCCCCAAATCCTCTGGCTGTTCAAGCAGCAGAAAGCAGTCGGTCAACTCGAGGGCCTCGCCGGCAGCGGTCATGGCAAAGTCGGCGAGGTTGTTGCCCAGTTGCGCTTTCCGCCGTTCGGCCCAGCGGAGGCCAGGCAGCCCATCGGGATGCGCAAAGGACCTGAGAGGCCGCGGTCCTTTCCTGTTTCGCCAAGGAGCGCGACTGAAGGTCGAGCAAGGGGGCTAAGAATCACCGCAAAGTAGTAGCCCGACCGAATGCGTTCCAAGAAGAGATTCTGTGTATCGAGATTTGACAAATCATAAAAAGGTTTACGTAAGATGTCCACGGCATCCACCTTGAGTGAGATCCCGCTCGTGCGTGCTAATTTGGTGAGCCAAGCTTCCAGCGATTGTTTGCGAGGTCTTCCGCAGAACAGATAGAGCACCCGAAGCTCACCACCGTGAAACACACCACTGTCTGTACCGAGTCAGTGCTTGCCAGCAGTGTCGCTGCTTGACTTGCGCTTTGGGCAACCCACAAAGTTGTGATTCTGATCGAAGCAGTGACTACAGACATGCTTGAACTTGCAATTCGCCAAAGTGCACCCCTCCTCTGTGTTGAATCTGAAGCAAACTGGATCCCCGGCCCGAGTTGCTGCATGTCCTCGGAAGGCCCGACCAGCACCGCGGCCTTTCCCCTTGGTCCCCTTCTTGCCCTTTCCCTTTCCGGGAGGCCGTGGGATCCAAGTATCCACGGATGGCATGCTGGTATCCTGAGGCTTGCGTTTGGAGTACATGGTGAGGGGAGTCGAGAAATGGCGCTCCTTATTAGTGACGGGATCCTTCCATGCTTTCTCCCACGCCACGGCAATCGCGAGGTCCTCCACGGTCATGTAGTGGAAAGCCTGCTTCCTGATGGCCTGTTCGTATGCCAGAACCAATTGCCAAGGCGGCGTGTGAATCACATTGTCCGAAGAATCCCTTGCTTGCAGGTTATGCACATAATCCCCCAGCAAGTATTCCTTATAACGTTCAAAGAGATCCGGGCCCAGGTCACGAAGGTCCGCTCGGCCTGGGAACTTGAGCTTCAGCATCAGATAGGCATTGCGCATGATGTTCAGACGCCGTCGGAACTCCTCGGGATTAGCGGGGAGCGCAACGCGGGAGGATCCCCGCTTGACAGTCATCTGCCCCTTCGAATCCCAAACCGGCATCAAGGTCTCTGGGTCCAGTTCATCGCGGGCTGTGACCTCCTGCAAGGATTCCGCTTTGAACTCTCCATGTTCCACCTCCAACAGCGAAAATACTCTTTCGAAGGCAGGACTTTCTCTTCCAAAGTGCCATAAGTTTTAGAGTAAGCCTGACGGAGCAGAATATATTCCGAAGTGGGAATCGGCTTTGTCCATTCCCGGGTGTCCTGTTCAGCCTCGGCTTCTGCCTGGCGTTGCACACGGACCTTCGATGCTTTCCAAGCCGCGATGAAGGAAGCCACCTGCCCACGAGCTGCTAGACTGGTCGTGGGATCCAGCCGAAACTCATCTTTCAAGACTGCAAGCAGATCTGTTTCCCCCGAGGCAAAAGCGCTAAACTTGTCAAGCGTGTCAATGCCAGCAGCGAAAAGCTTGCGCAAATGATCATCCTCGATCCCTTGTCTCTGCAGCAGAAAACGGAGGTCAGAAGACCCCAGCGTTAGCGGATCGACCGCCGGCCGGTCCCCCTGCTCCGGCGGCAGGTGCTGGCGGCGGCCCAGGAGGCCCACCACCTCCGCCAAGCGCAGGCAAGGCCATGCTGCGCCCCCGCACCCAAGTACGGCCCGTCCCGCTTGAGTCCCAAAATTTCGGAATGTACCGAAATGAGCGGAAGCACACGCTTCCCTGTCTCCACCGCACTCACCCAGACCACCTTTCGGATCCAGAAAGTAGATACGTATGTTGCTTGTCCTGCTTGGATACGCCCACTTGTTTCTGGATCCGCTACCATTTTGGGGTGAAACAGCGAAACCTATAACTTGAGCAAAAACACGCAAAGTCCAACAAATCTTTCTTCACACCAATGCAGCAGGTTGTTTTGCCGTTGTGTATGAGACAGGGCTGCATATATAAGCAAACGATTGTATATATATTGCACGAGCCAATATTTTTATGATTCTTATGAGCTTTCAACTCATAGACTGATGCTCATGATGCTTGAGCCGAAATATTGTGTGTCTCTCCTTACCTCTCCCCTCAAGTCTGGATTTCGGCTTAAGTTCTGTCAAGTTTGCGGTTTCCGGGACCTGGGTTGGGGCGTTGAAGTGTTTTCAGCTTTAGGGTGCACAAGACGACTGAAAGTACATAGCTCTTTGGGTGCTTGGGCTGATTGCTTGGGATTTGGCTGTAAGGTTTGCAGGCTTGGGTTTAGGGCCTGAGCTTCAAAGAGGGACCGCAAAGCAGACCCTTCCTCAAGCTAATCCCTTCGCACCCTGGACCCTAAGCCCTAGAACCGAAGCCGTAAGACCTTAACCGTAAACCTTACCAAAAAACCCGAAAGCCCTTCGATCTGCGTGCTCTTTCCGGGCCATCGGTCGACTTTCCTTGCTTCTTGGCCGAAATTCCGCGAAGCCAGGGGTAGAGCCGAAGATAGCAAGGACTACTGCTTCTCCGAATGCATATCGAATCGAATATGGATATAAGTACGGGATTTTGCAAGGCAACGGGTTTGAAGGCTCGTTCCCGGCGCACTATTTCTGTACATTTTGAAACTTGTAGCGCTCCGAAGCCAGTGTCGCGAACCCCGGCATCTCCTGAGATGACTGTGCTTATCACCCAACGAGACCCCAATCTAAATTTCGCCTTTGCTGAAGAGTATGTCAAAACCTTCTGAAGGCCAGCAAGAATCGAGACTCGGAAGAGCCAGCACAACCAGTCACCAGTGGAACAGCCTCATTGGTTGGTTTACTTTAGTCTCCATAAAAACAAGCCTACAATCAGACCTGTCGACGTGCAGTTTCGGATTTCGGGAAGCAGTGTTCGCTGAGGCTTTCGGGGTTCGGAAGTTTTGGTTGGAATTAGAGCTTAGTGGGGCGTTCGTCCTACAGTTCCACACAACGAAGACCCTTGGCCAGCTTGGGACCGTCACAAGAAGAACAGCAAATAAAAACTTTGCTTCAGCTTAGGAGAAAATCCTGCTTATGCGGATGTGGTGCTTGGAGCTGCAACTCGGAAACAGTGATTCTTAGCACCAGCAGCTCGGCAGAAGAAGCAGCCTTCGGCAATCTTCCTGGGAAGGCAGCAGGGTCAGGGTACATATATATATATATACACAAATTTATTGGTAGGGTTTAGGATTTGGGGTTTAGGGTTCGGCCAAGGCTCAAGCTGAAAGGTTTCGTCCATGTTACCTATAACGGTTTCGTACAAAAAATACCACTGCCTAAAAAAACGAAGCCAACGGATCAAGCGCCGGCAGAGCTCAATCCTCATCCTCTGCCAACAGCTGTTCAAGCATAGAAAGCTTGCGATACACTGCAAGTGCCCATCCTCGTCTGTGAACCGACCGGCACACACGGGCGATCGCCCCGTTCATGGATTCGTCGATGTAAGTGGAGTAAAAGCGGGGATTCCCCTTCAGCAGTGCCCTCTGAATCATATGGTACATCATATGACATTTAGGCATGAGAGGGATCTGGGCTCTGGCAGCCAGGCAGATGAACCTGTTGTAGTTGTCGAACAGCAGTGCACAAGTGTCGGCATCGACCGCTCTCGGGTGAGCCGGCCGCCAGCACTGCATCGAAGTCCATCGCTGCAGTGCCTGCTCTCAGCAACAGATCGACAGAAGCAGCTTCAGTCGTCGAAGCCAGTTGTTCCGAATGCTTTGCAAGTCTATCGACGACGAAGTTGAGCAGCCCATGTGTCTCGGCAGCTTTCGCTTTGAGATATTTTCCAGCAATCATGGTCAAGGTCAGGTTCCACACCTGCAGGGGTCATCCATCGCTACTGAGGAAAGCTTAAGCGGGCTCTGGTTAGTGGGATGCGTCGGGCCTCTGAGCCTTTTCTCTTCCAATCTTCGTCTGATTCTCGGCGTCTCTTGTAGAACGACCAAAGTTCCGCACGAAGATGAAGCAAGGCGAGCTTGTCAGCCTCCTCTTTCTCCAGGTCCTTATAACTGGCCGGCTGATACACCGGCGAAGAAATCAGGGTTCGCAGCGAATGTGCGACATACGAGGACAATGGTCCGAAATGCCATGTGTGGAGCACATCTATGCACCAGCAGTCGATCGAGACCCCAGGTATTCTCAAAAAAGGTGATCGATGGAGGATGCGACCGTGCGTCCCGCCGGTGTAGAAGATACAGCTGAATGGTGTCGTGAGATGGATAAAGTTGTCCACGTCCAAAAGATGTTCAGATGGCTCCAGGCGATGGCCTCTACGAAGACCCAGCGGCGGGAAGGCCGCCTTCAAGCATCGTCCCCGACCATTCTTGCTGTAGCGGAGCAAGCTGTGAAGTCGCCGTTGGGTCTCGTCGTCGGGCACAATCACTTCCTATAGTTCGATTCACGGCTACCCGCTTCTTGGCTTTTAGGTTCTTTATTCTTATTCCTTGAATATACTTGATGAAGACAACAGAAAACTTTGCCTGCTGCGGAGTCCAGCGGCCCGGAAAGTCCGTGGTACGAGCTCGTCATAAGAGCTCTGCGTAAAAAGTGGGTTCGGCGAGGAATTCAAGGAATGTGTGCCGACGGCCAACAAGGAAGACTTATCCACCGTGCAGCATGGGCATGGATGGAGGTTGTGAGACCATGTCCGAAGGCCGCAAATCTCGACCAGTGCCGGCCAGTCGGCCTTGAAATCCAAAATCGCCGGTCGAATATCGGTGTGCTCACGGCTCATGTCACAACGGAAATGTTCCAGAAGCGGGAAGACTGAACACCAGCCACGACAGCCGCACGAGCAGAGCTCTGACAGCCCTGGGTGTGCGATGTTTTTCGGTAATGAAGAAACATATTGTCTTTGGTTGAATATAAGGTCTCTTCGGAAATAAGTTACGGTTATTACAACGGCAGCAATAACTATAATAACCCAAGGCACTCAAGAGCCACACCAGTTGTTGCTTCCCAGAGCGAAGGTTCGTCATGTAGAAGCCCAGAAAGTTTTCGTTCTTTGTGTATTGCACCCCATCAAAGTAAACAGACAGGGGAACGACGTGTTCCTGACGAAATCCTTCTTGAAAGGCTTTCTGGACCACGGGGTGGTTGCAGTACAAATCCCAGTAACCCTTATCGGCATCAAGGTGATCTTTCAGAAGCTTTGAGTTTGCACTTGCCCCGGACCCCAGGAGCCCTAAAACATTCAACTCACAACGAAGCAGATCGGATGTTACCCTTGTAGGATGCTGCACCGAGACTCGCCCGAAGGATTTCTTGCAGTTCATAGGCACATGCACGTATTCCACGTAGGGCTCTTCGAAGTCTTTGGCAAGATGGCATCTTAGCTTCTCACTGCCAACACTACTATAATTTACCGCTCTACCATTTCGCACATATTAGTGGGCTCGCCAGAAGAAAAGCTTTGGACAAACAACAACACAACCAAGCCAAGACCCCAAAGACCGAACAAACAACAAACAAAGAAACAGTGCCAAACTAAGACCCGGGAGCCGGAGATGTCTGGATCCATGAATGCTGGCCTGGTCCGGGTGCAGCCCCAGATCTTCAGTGCCCAGGCCGCCCGATTCAGTATGATGATAAGCCAGGATACAAGTGTCAGCAGCAGTGGCAGCTCCAGTCGTATATCGTTCCAGCAAGTGTTTTCTGAACTTGACCCCAGCCTCCTTTCGATATTCGGCGTCTTCTCTTTCAGCTGTATCGTCCACACAAAAACTTGTTTGCTCCAGCAAGCGAGCTCTCTTCAGACTCATGGACAGTCATGACGGCGAAGCGGTGAGCGTTCTCGATTTGAGGATTTGGGGCGCTCTGGGGTGATATACTTCATTCAGAAAGCTTCAGGATTTTGGGGTCTTCACAGTTTCGGTGGCGACATACTTTGTTCATCAAGCTTTAACACTTTAAGGCTTAGGGTTAAGGGTGGTGTTTTTAAGGCTTAGGGTTGAAGCTTAGGGTTAAGGGCCTTAAGGGTTGAGGCTTAGGGTTAAGGGTGGTGGTTTAAGGCTTAGGGTTAACTGTGGTGTTTTAAGGCTTAGGGTTAAGGGTTGTGTTTTGAAGCTTAGGGTTAAGGGTGGTGTTTTAAGGCTTAGGGTTGAGGCTTAGGGCTGGTGTTGAGTTTAAGCGGCATGAACTCTTGGTGGCTCAGCTTCGGGCCTAATCTTCGCACAACATCGACCAAGGATCCTCCGATGACTGCTACAGAATGTCACTTGTCGCACAGCACTGAATGTGGCTTCAGCTTTCGCAGGCTCGGGGATTTCACGAAAGAGCTTTGGCTTCCGGGCTTTGAGGTTTCGGGCGGGGGTTTGAGGGTCGCTTCAAGCTGTGGACATGTTTCCATCGGACACTTCGGAACGGTCGCCGGTAACTATAGCTAGTGAAGCTGGCACAGCAGCAGGTGTCGCGATGCCGGTGCAGGTTCCTACAGTAATTATATATAGGCTTTAGGGTATAATAGGACTCGAAGAAACAGTAGCAAACTATACAATAAGGAACGTTCTGCGTGAGGATTTGGGGGCCCTCCTGCACCGACAAGCTGAAACCTAATCCTGCATTCGCACCAGCCTTGTGCAGATCGAGAGCAGTGCAACCGATTGTTTGAAGCCAGCCAAGCTCGCACTTCGGAGTTCCGGGATTGAGGCGGGGCTTGGGCTTAAGGTTTGGGGTTCCGGGTTGAGGGTCCAGGGTTCAGGGTTTAGGCAAATTGCAGGGTTGAGGGTTTTGGGTTTCGGGTTGAGGGTCCGAAAAAAGTCAGACTATTTTATTCCGGCCTACAGATGAACAGGTCCAGGGTGGTCCAGGGTTCAGGGTTTAGGCAAATTGCAGGGTTGAGGGTTTTGGGTTTCGGGTTGAGGGTCCGAAAAAAGTCAGACTATTTTATTCGGCCTACAGATGAACAGGTCCAGGGTGGTCCAGGGTTCAGGGTTCAGGCAAATTGCAGGGTTGAGGGTTTTGGGTTTCGGGTTGAGGGTCCGAAAAAAGTCAGACTATTTTATTCCGGCCTACAGATGAACAGGTCCAGGGTTGAGGGTCCGAAAAAAGTCAGACTATTTTATTCCGGCCTACAGATGAACAGGTCCAGGGTTGAGGGTCCGAAAAAAGTCAGACTTTTTTATTCCGGCCTACAGATGAACAGGTTCAGGGTTGAGGGTCCGAAAAAAGTCAGACTATTTTATTCCGGCCTACAGATGAACAGGTTCAGGGCTGAGGGTCCAGGGTTCAGGGTTGAGGAATAGGAATCTCTGGTTTGTGGTAAGTTGAAGGAATTTAGGATCATGTCGGCCAGCAATAACAATCGGCGACAAGCGGTTCGCATCGCTCAGCCGCCCGGGCTTAGCCGGGTTGCCCCGATCGGGCTGAGCACATTCCCCATACCAGCAGTGCATTCAGCAAGGGTTTTCGGGAAGCCAGGATTTTATTCGGGATGCAACGACTTTTGGGGGAGCAGCTACGAGTACTTCAGGATTTTTTCGGGCGTGGGTTGATGCTGTGTGGGTTCAAAGACTAAGACATTCCAGCTGCTATAAGCGCTAAACCCTAATAAGCCCTAAACCCCACACCCTAAACCCGGCTTTGAAAAAACCCAAGCTGCAACACTGCACCCCTCCAGCTGAGGATTTCGATCACACGGACAGCGATGCTGCGGAGGCCGATCGCTTGGGCGCCTTCTTTTTCGACTTCGTAGAAGCCTTTGAAGGGGTGCCGGCGGCAGCTTCAGCTTGAGCATCGGACATAGAACGAATCTTGCTTGTACACTCGGACATCATCGCAATCTTCGGGCCCATCTGCAGACAAAACTCGCACAACTTTGAATGATAATCTAGCCCGTAGATCTTCTTCAGCCGAGAAGTCTCCTTGGCACTCAGTGCCGCGATCTTCATTTGGCCAAAGAACTCAACATCGGCGTACATAGCAAGGATCTCCGTTCGGAGACTCCGATACTGCTGGACGAAATCCTTCGCCCAACTCCAAACAGCGGGGTTGGCACTCATAGAGGATGCGATCTTCGACATCACATTGTCGCTTTCGGCTTCCAGGGCTAAGAACTCTTTGACTTCTCGCTCCTTTTTGCCGGTGGGGTTGCCTGCACCTTTCTTGGGCCTCTTAGAAGCACCTTGGCCTTCATCTCCATCTCCCCCAGAGCCAAGCAGAGGATTCTCACCGTCAGGACCCTGAGCACCATCGCCGGATTTCATAGCCTTAGCTTTGCCCTTAGCCGCCGGTTTAGCCTTGGCCTTGGGAGCAGCCGGTGCAGGTGGATTCGCGGAGGAAGTCTGCTTCGAAGCGGAGCCATCGCCACCAGGCTGCGGGAAGGCCGCTGGAGTGGACTCGTAGAGCTTTGCAAAGCCCTTGACTCCCAGTGTCGTCTGCTGTAGCATGTCCAAAGTGACTTCTTTGGGAGCACATTGGTATTCCACAGCATACACCCGTGCAGCCTTGCAGAACTCGGCTTTTTCAGACCAGCTGCCAGAAAGGGGGTTCTCCGACTCCACCGTCACCTCATT